GTGATCTGCCATGAGGACATCAGGACCATTCTTGAAAGAACAAATAGTTTTGGTCAATGTAAGTAGGAACTGATCAGATTGCCCATGCCTGAGGCCACAGGTCTTTCAGGTATCTGTCAGCAGGACTTGCTGAGCCTTTGCTATGTCTGGTAGACCAGGTGGGCTCTGAAGAGATTCACACCCTTTGGTTAGTGATTTATCTGAGGAAAAAGTTCTGTTTCAAGAAAAGATGCTATAATAAACTTTATGTGTGATATATACTTAAAAAAAAAGTAATGCTGCCTGGGACAAGGTTGTGAGCCCGCTTTTCCCTCCAGAAAGCCCCTCCCTCTGCTCTGCCTATGGTGCTTAGACTGTACTACATGGAAAGTGTTCAAACACCTCAGGTAGCTAAGTTTGTGGTCCAGCCCTGAAATTAAGAACAAATTAAAATGGGGGGGGGATGTACAAACTTAATGAGAACAGACAGAGCCAAGGTTATTTTAACATGAATTTAAAGCCAGACCATTAGGCTGGGGATACAGCTCAGCTGCACAGGGCCTGCCTGGCAAGTAAAAGGTCTTGAGTTTGATTTCTGGTACCAAAATAAAACAAAACACACACACACACACACACACACACACAATCAATCAATCAATCAATCAATCAATCAAAATACCCAAACCAATATTGTAATCTTATTTATTTATTTGGTACAGGGTCTCGCTATACAGCTCAGACTCACAGTGATCCTCCTGTCTCAGCCTCCCCAGCACTGGGATTACAGGTGTGTGCCACCACTCCTGGTTTCAGTGGCTGGCAAAGCATGTTCAAGGTTCTGGGCCTTGCACAGCATGTGGTACTGGGGATCAAACCCAGGTCCTTACACTTGCCAAGCTGGGGCTTAGACTTCCAAGCTATCTCCCCCAGCCTGTACTTTTAAAAGGAATAGTGTTGTAGGCAGCTAAGTTATATAGAAGTATTATAGGCAGTCAGGCAGGGTCAGGTCCTCAAGGAGACAATACAGAAGACAAGGTGACTTTGCAATTTTGGAAGAGACAGACACTCCTGTTGTGGGCCAGACCTCAAGACAAAAAAAGTAAACAAATGCAGCCATGTACTTCTTTAGGGATGGGCTTCAGGGATTGACATTCTAAATAAGTATCACCTTGAAAGAGCCAGAGAGAGTCAATAACCCAACCCCCAACAGGAAAAGACCCTGTCCCATATTCATGTTTGCTTTGTGACTGGCTTCCCCATTTGCTACTGGACTTTATCAATTTTCCCTGAGCAATGGTGCATGTAATCTCATTGGTTGACCATAGTTTTGTCCCATCTCATGCCCACCTAAGTGAGTTCCCATATTTTGTACTTTAGACCCACCTGACCACATGGTTTTATTCTATAAAAGTACCTGGATAGAGACAGCTTCCTAGGGCAACCCTCTCAGTTACACTTCTGTCCCTCTCTCAGATAGGAGCTTTCTTTCCCCCAGTAAATATATTCTGCTCTTAACCTCCATTTGTTCCTAAAACTCAATTTTAGAGAATACAAACTCATCCAGGTACCTTTCAGGTCAGAAGCTTCGTTCCCCTATATCAATAACACTAGAGCCAGTCCAGGATCACTGTGAGTCAAGGCCACCCTGCACCACATAGTGAGACCTTGTTGGGA